AAGGAGCTGCCCAGGGAATGGTGGAGTTCCCACTCCTGGAGCTGTCCAAGGAAGGACTGGACATGGCACTCAGAGCTCTGGGCTGGTGACAAGGCAGGGATTGGGCACAGCTTGGAATCAATGGCCTTGGAAGCCTTTCCAACCTCAATGATCCTGACTGMCTGGGCCTGGAATAACCCTTTGAAAGCTGGCACATGTTCCAGAAGTAAKAAATGTCCCAATCTGGATCCACGGACTCAAACAGCCCCAGCACTTGCTGGTGCTGGAAGAGTTTAAGGATTTTATTCAGGTTGGGAATGATGAATCAATTCTTTCTTTGCCTTCCGGGAATTCTGAGGATCCATTCTGGAGGCTCCAGCTTCTCCTTCCACCTGGCACCAGATATCTCCATGAAGCCAAGAGGAGTCAAGGAATCCCCGTGCAGAGTTTCAGGGCACAGTGGATGTTTTGGAGCAGGACTGGGAAATGAAAGAGGTTTTTCAGGAATTCTGCCTTAKTTTCTCCCCTGCCTGAGGTTATCCACATCCCTTTGGGCTTGGATTTAGTCTGGGAACCAGAACTCAATTGCTTGGATTTCCTTAAGAAAAGCTGATCCTGTCCTCTTCCTGTTTCCTGTGAAAGGGCTGGAACAGCCCTGAGGATTTTCCCATAAATTGAGACAAATGCATGCCTCTGTTTTGATTCCCCCTTCCTATTGTGTGTCTGTGCTTGGCAGGAGCCTGGGGAGATTTCCCCTGGATGTTTGGGTTACTGATGTCTTCCCGAGCTGCAGAACGATGGGATCCAGATTCCGACCGACAGCGACTCTTCCTGTCCTTGGTTTGCTCCAGATCATCCCTTGGGACACAGGTAAATCCTGGTTCTGTCCCAATCCCAGTTTTAGTTAGGAAGGGAATTCATTCCCAGGTTAAATATTTTTGTTTTCCCAGCTTGTTTTTCTGGCATTCCCACATCCCAATTTCCACAGGAAGCACTGATGGGAATGTTGAGAAGCACCAACTCCCAATGCCATTAAAGCCCCTTTCCAACCCAAACCATTCCAGGACTGGATGACCCCAGGACAAGCAATTTTTCCGTCTCTCTCTCATCTCAGGCCAGTACATAATTCCTCCTGACAATCCAGTCATCGGAATCGTTGGGAACGGAGCTGTCCTGCCCTGTCAGGTGGAAGGCAAAATAATCCGGAGAAACTTTCCATCCAGTGGATCCTCAAGGGAAGCTCCACAGAACATGGTGTGGCCGCTTTTGATGGGGAAAACCCTCACAATCCATTTCTGGAGTTTGAGGCTTATCGGGGCAGGACAGACTTCTTCCCATGGAAATTCCACCAAGGAAATTTGTCCCTACTTCTGAAAAACGTCCGGCCCTCTGACAAAGGGAAATACACCTGCATCGTCTTCCTCGAGAACTGGTACAAAGAGGTGGTGGTGGAACTGGATGTGGCAGGTGGGTGCCAGGGAAGGAATTTCTGCTTTTTCCTATGAAATCAGAGGGATCTCCAGGGATTTCCTTGGATATTTGGGTTATTGATGTCTTACCAAGCTGTGAAACAACGGGGCTCCACATTCCACCTCCTTGTTTTCCTACAGAGGGTTTGTTTTGTCTCAGGTAAACCTGAGGTCTGTCCCGACCACAATTTGGTTCAGGAAATTCAATTCCCTGGGGGAAGCCAAAAGGACATTTCAAGAGTAAATGTAGGAAAATTCCTAGGTTGGGATAAGAGCAGTTTAATGGAAAGCAAGCGAAAGAGAGAGAAATAGAAGTAATGAAAAACATGTTATGTTATTCCCAAATCTGATGCAGCTCCTGGGAGAAATTAACTCCATCCCAGCCAGGGCCAGCATGCAGAGGAAGAGCCATTTCCCAGCAATTTAAGGTGAATTACAATTAGAAATCTGATTAATTTGCACATTATTACGGGGAAATCTGGGAAGACCTTCCCACCAGGAGCCAGAGAATCCTGGGATGGTTTGGGTTGGAAGGTTCTTGAAGCTCATCCAATTCCAACCCCTTCCATTGGCAGGGATACCTTCCACTATCCCAGGTTGTTACAAAACCGGTTCAACCAGATCTTGGACACTTTCAGGGATCCAGGAGTAGCCACAGCTTCTCTAAGAACTCCATTTCAGCCCCTCCCTGACCTTCCTGTAACAAATTTCTTCCTAATATCCAGTTTGGTGAGGAAATTCATTGTCTACTCTTTGTTGTTTTTCCATTGTGCAGCTCAAGGTACTGAACTCTCAGTTTTCCTGGAAGGACACTCTGGGAATGGCATCAGCCTCTCCTGCAGATCCCAGGGATGGTTCCCAGCACCCTCCGTGGTTTGGCTGGACAGTCAAGGACAGACCCGGACAGAGGAAGTGACCACTCTGAGCACTCCAGGCTCCTCTCCCGGTGTCTTTGGTGTTGTCAGTTCCATGAGCCTGGAGCCGGGATCCGACCGGGAAGTGTCCTGCAGGGTGGTCAATGAGGTGCTCAATGCCACATGGGAATCCCGAGTGCGGATTGCAGGTGAG